AAAGCACTGAGTTCCACTGTGTTTATTTGCTGACGAGGATGCGGCAAGGAGGCTTGCCAAATTTGCGTACTGTCTGTTTCATTGTGTCACTGTATCTCACTCTCTGCAAACGTGAGCGCAACGTTATATTACGTGAAGTGAGGGAGGAGTGAGGTGGTGAGAGTGTAATTGCGCCTATTCAGACAGATAGAGCGGTCACCTGCTTTATGTGGAGTATCAAGGTAGGATATATAGATTGTGGAGTGTGCATCACGTACTACCAAGCGTGTGGCGTGACATGCAGTTACTATCTGCATGTAGCCAGTGTCTCTGTTAATCGCTATCGTTTGAGTTCATAAGCCACTATAGCGTTGGTCGCATAGCACTGTCTCGCGCCTGACGTTTGTGTTACTAAGTCATCGATAGCGAATCGCATAGCTATGCCCATCTCAGTGAAGCACGGATGATTCTCCTCGGGACCCTCTCCACACCGCCGCGATCTTCCATCCTCGGTCGCAGAACTGAACAGGCGCCTCGATTCGCTATATATCTTCGTCCGCACTTCGCTGGCAACAGCTTCGCCCTACGTGTACATCTTGATTCACCTTAGATTCGCAGGGTGTTTCCGCCTACATTCGCCCTAGTGGCGGCGGGTATTCGTCGCTTGCGTCGACACAGATCCTGTTTCGTGGAATGTTCCCTCCTCTAGACTCTGGCTGCGCAACTCGACTTTATTATGCTGCTCCCTATTACCGCCACCACACGCATCGGGGGGTTTGTTACTGCCTATTAGGTCATATAGTTTACTCGATAAATAACAGGGCGTTGTGGTGGAGTATTCTGTTTTATCCTGGTACTTGGACCTACTCTACGCTATCTAATTGTATGTGCAGGAAAGGGGCTCATGTAAACACTTACTACCTTCTGTCTTGCTTCGCTTGGCCACTGGCGCGTGCTCAGGTGTGTGGAATGCATCTGGTGGTTAGGCACAACGACATGGCAAGGGTTGGAACTTATGCATGGATGCACTCACATGAATCCTGTGTACTAATACTGCAATCTTACTTGACTGCTAAAATCGCCCTATCTCATGTGTATACCAATATACTCCGCAAAGACTTCCTAATCTGTTATGTCGTACATAAGCTGCTGTTGGCAAACAGGTCAGTGTCTCTCAGGGGCCATAACTGTCCACCTGCATTCTTGCAGACTTTTGTGTTTAGGTAGAGAATGCGCTGCTCTATATACAATGTTTGAGTGTCATGTCATATTATTCCAGCGCCTACCCCCCAATGGGCTTCAGTTGGCATTATCCTGCTGGCTGTTTAAGCGAATAGCCACTAAAGATGCGCTCTATACGTACCTTAGTTCCGATAGGGCTGAAACCTGGCCTCACTCGATGTTGCTTTGATAAGCCCTCAAATAATAAACTATAAGTATTGTCCGTGATGCATGGCCACAGTCCTCTTATGGACGGACGTGCTACCGAGTTGCTTGTAGTCGTACCAGCAATCATTGTGGTAGCTTGCATGCCACAATCTTATAAACGTGTGCGTTTCATTTGAATTCATTTTGCAAACTCCGGTGGGTCTGAATGAGGTTACAAACTTTGCTATTACTGCTGCGGGAAATCTGCGCAGCTTTTTCGCACGAGAGGTTCATAGGCTGTCCTTCAATGGACCGTAGCAACTGCTCCTATAAATTTTCATTTTCCTTACCTCTAATAATATTTTCTTTATAGCCTGTGTGTCACTGACTGCACCGCTGGTTAGACCAACGAATTTCCAGCTACTTGTCTGTTGTACAAGTCACATGTTGAGAAGTTTAATAATGCAAGAATATCCTACCTGGCTAGACTACTTCTGTGGAAATTTTCTATTGATGTGGGCAAAACATTATTATGGTCCACTGATGCCTCTATGGGGAGCCTATACCAACTTGCAATTTACCAGGAATCTTCTCATTTTCGTGAAGGTAGCAACTTGCGCACTGTTGCAGACAAAGCTTCTGTTTTCGTTTATTAACGTACAGTGGTCGGGCTTGACTCATTCGGGGAAAAAAATGATAAATCACAATGATATATCGTGGATAACATTTAGCTGACTAAGGTTTAGGTGTCTAGTTTGCCAGGATTCTGATCAGGTATCACTAATGTCTACTCTGTTGAGCGGTGTCTGTGATATCACCCTCGCGGTAATCCCGTCATTATGTTTCTGAAGTGATGTAAACAACAGTGTAACATCTTAATAGTTATTGCTTAATGCTTATCTTTAACTAGACCGAATGACCACTAAAGCCATCGCAAGCTGACGGTGTGCAACACCCGCTATGTGACTAAATGAACATGGATTGGATCACAAAGACCCTCAGGGTCGTAAAAGTCGCTGATTCAGGGACAAACAGTTTATTCGGCAAACTGAGCTCAGCAAACTTAACAGCTTGACAATTAGGTAGAAATCCCGATGTTAATACTTATGTCATTTCCATATCTAACGACGCTGTTGTACTCATGGGATACTTCCTCTGAATCAGTTAAACTAACCCAATCCGTCGAGTCAATCAGCGCGTAGACGAAATACTCACAGGCGTCTGATCAACTGTTCTGTTCGTACGCGACACGCTTGCCGCTTGCTTGCACAATTGTATCATACTCAGTATACAATCTAATAGGAACCTAGGGCCCACACAATCATCTCGCGTCAAAAACTGCTTAGATTTGATTGGTGTATCGTGTATTTCTGTTAAACTTGCCCCAAACGGAGTGACCGGTTGGCAATGAACGTGAAACATACGTTGATTACGTGTTTTTGGTACGGAGCAGATACAGAAGCACTAATTGGAGACTGAAAGATCATTGCTTATACTGTTACACATAAGCGTCAATTATTGGCCTACACGCTTTACTATATCGGTTGCACGCCGAGACATTCACAATAGACGTAAATAACGTTTTCATATGCTTAAGTTGCAGGAACAAATGGTATATTAGAAATGCAGATAAACGTTCGCATCCAACCCATAGAAGTGCATTGCTCATGATGACCGGTATTTGAAACGAAACCGTTCGTACTTTGTGGTGAATGAATTGGGTTCATCCGCTTGTTCTCTGTCTAGGCTCGATACAGGAAACCAAGCTGGAGAATCGAAATTCAATAAGACAAAACTGTTTTCCACGCCAGCCTGCCATTGTGCTACATACGAATGATCGTCAACTTGGAAGTAATAATGGTGGGGAACTGATCATTTCTGACTGATCTGATGTGCTTGGGGGGGGGGAAGTTAAAAGTTGCATAGGCTTGGATTTGTTGTGCCTATCTTCGCGCAGCTTTAACAAACCTTACTCGCGAAGCGCGCGACGAGACAGTGTGTCTGCTTCAGCTCGATATTATGATTCCTTATTCTGTGGCCCACGAATAAGGTATGTGTCCGACAGCCACAGTGAGTGTGTTTAGTACCGAATTGCTCCTACTCTGTCGCACATTAACCGCGTGACGTGCTTGGACTAGCCATGTAGCGGGACATAACGTATTGCCTAGGACGGAGAATGTCTCATAGGGCTAGCGTAGATCGCAGGGGCCCTAACAGCAGATGGGCACCTGTTCTCATCGATGCCGTGTCCTAATAATACACCCTATGGTATACCTCTCGAATCACCGCGGGATGCCCCATTATCAACATACGGTCAATGTTAATCCCGTGAGCGATCTATATGTGTGTCTATAACAGGGATGTCATTTTTCAACTTGACCGATGGCTTCGTGGTTGTGTCACTACATGGGTCATGGCAGTCAGCCTCAAACAACGGCCGACATTTTGGTCTTCCATCTTCAGCAAACTTTTCAATGTTTGTATGTCAATTCAGATAGCTGAAACAAGTGTCTACATGACCCGAATTACCGTTGATAATCTCGCCTAAAGTTAAAACCATGCTCACGGGATTTATCGTCATATTTCGCCGCATTATAGTCTGTCACATAGAGGGAACGTTCGAAGACCTGGGGATAGCCATTCTGGCATGTTTGCTGGCTTTCTAGGTGTATCAGACAAATGACATAGCCACCGTAGCGCTCGTTTCAGCATTTGACACTATAGGTACAGAAATCTTTGCACCTCTGCTCATTCTAACCACTGCATTTCAAGTATTTTCCGACACGAGTTACCCCTTGACGAACAATACATCATGACTTCATGCTTTCCTCTTTCGGATATTTAGCGGAATTTAAAGTTACTCTGCCAGCATCACTGCTTTCTTGCGGCCATTCGTTCTATTTGGTAGATGAACAGTTGGTGTGTAAAGCAATGTTTATTCCATTGGCGGATACTTCGCACAGCTTTCAGGGGACAATGGCGCTTACTGTTGAACATATTATTTGTCTATCGTTTCTGGGCAAGCAGGTCTTTAAAACGCTTTTCTTTACTTTATGTGAAGTGAAGATTGCTTTTATTTAATACTTATTTGGTTC